CGCTGTCAGAAGGCGTGGCATGAGCCCACCCGTGACCGCTTTTTTTAACAGTAGTAGTCGGTGTACGTGAAAAGAACCAGTGATAGAAAACGCCGCGAGTGACGTGATGCCATGCTCCCTGTCCCCGCCCTAATTGACTGCGATGATACCAGCTGTAAAAAAGCGGTCATTACTAGGCTCGGGGCGGGCCCTCTGACGAGCCCCACCACAGCCAGTTTTATGCTCTATAGGAGCTCCTTCATATAGAGCCATCAAGATGGCGTAATTGGAATTTGCCATAGTGGTTTCTCCTACTATACCTGAAGATTTACAGAGACGTTTAGATGGCAAGCGCAAATCGAGCGACAACCCCATGGATCATCACCTTTCAACATCGACCGTTCTACTGCAGTAACGTCAACTCTGCTGAGTGTCAGTCGTTTGAAAATCGACTGGTGAGTTTTCTTCAGATTTAAGACCTGGTATTTCTACAGAACCTAATAATTCTATATTTCTAACGAAGTCTTTGCCACCTTCCAAGAGTTATCCAACACATGAACTTTCATTTAGATCCGAACTGGTTGGCTGGACATGCCTGGATTGGAACCGCTGTTTCTTCAGTATGGTGTGGACATGGGCTTCTGGGGTCACGAACACTCCTACGAGCGATTCTATCCGATTGCCGATAGACAGTTCTACAATACAGTCAGTCGATTCAGTAAAGTCTAATTACCGAAAAAAAGAAATTTTTTGAACTTATTGATATCATTCCACTTGTAAGGGTGCATCGCATTTTCTACCAAGAAGAATGTCTTGTTAGCTCACCCCACCCTCCTAACCCAGTGTAACCCTCAACTGCAGTATCGTAGATTGCCCTTGTAGTACATTTTGAAGGCCACAGCCATAGGTGGGAATATCGATGGCGACGTTCAGTCATGTTACCGGTCATTATTGGTGCACATCTCCCAAGACACAGAATGTAAGGAACGCCCAGTGGCCAACTGTCTCCGCCCATATCACCAGCTTGGACTGCCACGTTACAACTGCAGGATGGTTTCTCCACCACCCACTTTCGCTTTAACCAAGGACGTGTCGGGCCAGCTCATGATGACAGGCCAAAATATGGTCTATCGAAAGAAAAATTTCTTGACGCATTACGGACCTGCGAGGGTTCCCGCACCATTTTATCATTTTTTACATCGTCAGTCAGTAGTTTCACCTGTTTCCCACTTTCTTATGAAATGTTAGTATTCCGTGAGCGAGAACCCGATCTGAGAGCTTTAGAACATGAAATAGATGCCAATTTAATTGTA